TTTTTTTTTTTTTTTTTTTTTTAACTATACGCAACGTGCGTCTACGGTTGGGCTGTAAAGTTAAAATTGCGTAATTCACATTGAGGAGTCGATGACGATTTGAATCGAATTTAATGATCGTTGATAAACAATTATCTTACTCGATGACGTTTAACGACGATGCGCGCGCACACTCGGTGTGTATCGCGATCGTCGTTAATAAATTTCGTTCGCGCTGTCGCCGCAGTGAGAATTCTTCTTCGTGATTAAGGGAAAGGATTCGACAGTGGCCGATGGTAATCGCCTAATAGGGACGATTAACGTTAATGACGATGACGAAGCAAGTAAAAGTTCTTAGTGCAGAAGAGGGGGGGGGGAGGCAGTGGTCCCAGAAAGGTGGATGAGACGTTATCAAAGAAGATGCTGCGTTAAAAAAAAATGGTGCGAGGGGGGGGATTAAATGAGTCGAGCGGGACAGGTAGGGGGGAGGGAGGGGGAGGATGACCAAGAAAAAAATGTTCTGGAAGTGGGCAACTCGGGTAGGGGGAAGGGGGGCGGTTGGACGATGAGACGGGAAGGTAGGGAAAAAAGTGAAAGAAGTTCAAGAGGTGGGGGGGGAGGTCGAGCTGTACAAGATGGGAGGACACTGTGAAGCGATGCCACGTGTGTCTGCGGGTAGCACGAGGTCTGCGAGATTAATGTCATCCATTCGTTACGAACTTTTCATTTTGCCTTTTGCTTTAATTTTTTTTTAATTTCTTTTTTTTTTCCTGCTCGCGCCCGGTATGGATGTATGTATAAATGCGGATATGTGTGTGTGTGAATATATATATATATATATATATATATACACGCCTTGCTCACCTATCTGTGTTTATCCATCTACCTACCAACCTAACAGAGCGGATACCTATGACCGACTAAAGCAACGAGGGTCACGCGATTTATGACCCAGGTTCAGATGCGTAGGAACCTCTAACGTGTTGAAAAAAAGACGTCGTTACCATTTCGAACGCGCCTTAAAGACGGTATGGATCGATTCGAGAATTACAGTGAGCTTTTAGCTCCTTACGGCGAATCCGCAACCCCCCTTCCGTTCCTGCTTCTCAGCAAAGGAAAAAAAGGTCGTCGGGTCACTGGCGTTCCA